TATATATATACATACTGTATATATGCATTGCAGAGAGTTTTATGAGATGCAGATTACACTGAGCTGATGTTTTCCAAGTCCTCTTCAAATGCTGCAGCACAGTACTGTCCTAATGAGAAAAGTGTTTACTTATTTAGCTCTATTGTGAATGGATGTTTCAAAGCTCCCGGAGTGTTTTCTGCTCTCCCCGATTCCTGCCTGTCCGGATCCTCGCTGATTGGATAATGACGATGTAGAAAGAAATTGCTGGGGTTCTTAACTGTAATCACAATCTCATTAATACGTACACTCCACGGCCTGTGTGCATGTCAGGAGCGACGCTGTGAGTTTTACCTCCAGATGCTCAGCGACAGCAGTGTGAGAGTGAGAGCACAGGTTTATTAGGGTACTTGTCATCATCAAAGTAAGTGGCTCTTTTAATTACCCATAGCAGATGCAGCTTTTAAATAAAGAATACATCATCAAAGCTGCACACTCCACACATGGCACAATAACGGTGCGAGGCAGGGGAATGGATTATTCTCACAAAAAAAAAAGAGGAGGGGTGGACCAGGCCCAGATCTCTTCGGCACAATTGGAAATTGTCAGAGAAGAGCGAATGATGGGGAGAATGACGACACAGGATCCAGCAAACTTCTCATTGCAATTCACTTTTGGGGCTGTGTGCCACTGACCTTCAGCAGTTTTTATTTTACCGTAATAGATTTCCCTCTCTTTGTAGTACTTTCAGAACATTCTGTCAAAAAAAGATGCTTATCAAGTTGCTTCTCTGAATGCAGAGGCAGAACAAATCTGGGACTTTTTTTCCCATCCCCATTAAGTTGAAACTGGATAATCATAATATTGAATTAAGTTTACCTAAATTGGTAATTATGGCCCAAAAACACTACCTTTGTTGCATGTTTGTGACTTTTCTGATGATGCACCTCTTATTCATTGTGCTATGAAATGATTAAACAGYTCAAATTTGCTTTRATTAATTAAGATTRATTAAGAAGCCAAAATMGACAMTACAAAGTTGACATCTTTAACTTTWGAGTTCTAACTTTTTGAAAATACCCTGATTTTAGCAGCTGACAGGAAAATTAATAAAGACATGAAACGATGCTGGACTCAAACCAGGGTTCATTGCAACAAGATACTGCAGCCTCTGAACACATGGCACACACTCAAATGTTGAGTTTCTCACTGTCTCACATCAGACAAGATGAAACCAAAGCTTTAAWTAATCACAAAAATGTTTGCCGAGCAGACATTGATAAAAGGTAATGGTCTCAATCTCTCTTAACTGAGAGGAGTATTCCAGCGTAAATGAAGTGTCACAAACTATTCAAGTGYTCAAACCTGACTGATAAACGTCAGYCGWGAAACTCATTTCTCTGTATCTGCGTCACCTTTCCAGGTCACAGGGAGTGCTGGTGCCTAACAGCCACTTCATGAGAGGGGTCACAAGTTCATYGCAGGGCCACATAGAGCCAAACGTGACAATCAAAATGTGAAGAACAGACTGGATATTCTTTGTCATTTTAAATTTTGGCCAACAGGGGTCACTGTTTTTACAGCACTTACCTGTAAACTAACACAAAATCACAAAAGAGACATTAGCATTGTTCACAAACAAATTCCAGGGTGTGGCCTCAAAGWCGAGTCCCTCTTTAAGCTGCATCTAGTTGTTTTTTTTAATCACCACTACAGCTGGCCGTGTTCGACAAAAGTGTGTATAATTTATTTATTGACGCGACCATCGCTGCACCAAGCGCTGCTAATGTCTCGCATTCCTAAGACTGCAGGTTTGAGTCCAGGTTGCATCAGGATGGGCACACTTTTCAAAAAGATTTGAGAAGACTCAGACTCAAATTAAGTGAAATAATCTGCCAATTGAAGACAATTGTACTTGGTAAGAAAATTTCCAGGCTAACAAGTTTAACTGTTAGCAGCACGGCAGCTCGTTGGTTAGCAATGACGGATCACGGCAAGAAGATGCTGGGTTTGATCGCTGGTTCGAACCTGGGGTCTTTTTGTGTGGAGTCTGCATGTTCTCCGCGTGCTTGCGTGGGTTTTCTCCAGGTATATATATATATATATATATATAAGGTTTTACTAGAATAAAAGTCATAGTAACATGAGGATTAAGTCATAATGTTTTCATAACAGAGTCACGACCTGTATCAAGATCTGTTGTGAGCAGCTCCATCAAACAGCAGTGTATTACTCGTACCGATAACGTGAGCTAACTTAAACAGTTAACTTCATAACATTCCTCATTTTAATGCAAACACAAGATTTTTTTTGTAGGAATTCTCATAATAATGGATGGCTGTACTGGAAAATGTAATTTCCTTTTGGGGGTTAGTAAAGTATTATTATTATTATTGTTGTTATTATTATATTAATAATTTAACAACTGGGTTAGTATATCTGGTCAGAATGAAACTGTCAAAAGTTTAAGATTGTAAGAAAGTTCTTATTACCAACTKTATCTCTTATTCAGAAGATAAAATAACGAATAAATAAATTAACTCAGTCAAACCTTTTGTTAGACTGTTGTTGCTGTGTGTTTAGCCTTTTTTATTCTGTATAGGTTTCCTAAATTCATTCATTACAATTCATGTAATAACACAAAGTGTAACATAAATTGATTTTTACACTACTTTACCTTTACAGCTTATGAAACATAAATTAATTTTGTGTGGGATCAATAAAGTTGTATTTTGTAGTCCTGTAAGAAGTTTTAATACATTGTTTTTGATACCTGTTTTTCTCAAATTGTGTGTGTGTGTTTGAATAAATGATGGTGCCGTATTAATGTAAATCTCTGTTAAAATGTGCTTTATGAAACAAAGTCCATTCATTTGTAGTAGTTTACAGCGCAGCGGTGCCACCTCCAATATGGCGGACGCACAGCCTCCTCACAGGAGCGGACCGACACAGTCAACGAGCCTTTTACGTATTCATTTCAATGGGGGTAAGAAGCTGATACGACATGCTTTCATTCAAAATCTTGCTGCCACAGCTGACTGCAATGAGCATCAATCATTTCTATTTTTTGTATTTCCCACCAGCAAGCTACAAAGCCTGCTTATCCTTCCCATGACCATCGTTTCCTCCGCCATGTCTATGCTTGGCAGCTTAGAGGCTGCCTTCAACTCCCTAAATGCTGCCTCTGCCTTTTAATCACAAGATGGTCTGGAAGCATCTTAGGCTCAGCTTGAAGCGTTTAGGGAAAGGAGATATTCACTTTAAATCTATGCAAACAAATAAGATGTATAGATTCAATCAGTAAACTTAAACATGGTTTAGTTGAAATGGCCTTTTAGAAAACGTCACAGTCACCTAATCTCCTAGTGATGAACTGTCAGTGTTCTCATGCCTTTGTTCTTACCCAAAGAAAAAAGGAAGAGAGAAAATTAGGTAGCAAGGGGCTTCATTACCAGTAAAAATGCAAACTCTCCCATTATTTCATTCTATAACTTAGTACTTAAGTTACTCAATAATTCTGTCTCAGAGGGTTAAAGAACTGAAGTTATCAGTAAAATAAGACTGAAACACGATGGAGCAGTTTTAATGAATTCTGTGCGGCTTCAAATTATTTATGGGCAGCAACTGTGAGCTGTTAACTGACTGATGAAAAAGAAAAACTTTAAATGTTTCAAAATCTGCTTTAAAAAACAATCATCCCTTTCCTTTTCATTTTGGTATCTCGATTTTTATTTATTTATGTTTAAGTCCAACCTATGGGAAACAATGGAAGGTAGCAAGAAAAATAGGATAGGAATACCTAATGACACACAAAGCACCACCCCCAATTCATTTGGGCCTGCCAATGTCTCACATGAGCTTTMAGTACATTGCTCAGTAGGCAGAGATTTGTCTGAAATGATAACCCAAGACCTTGATGTTGCAACCCCTCCCTTGTAATGAGGCATATAATTAAAAAGCTACGAGAGCTCAGTGGGCTGAATTTGTGATGACAGCGGGGGATCGTCTGCTCAAGGTTACAATGCTCTCTGTAGCAAGTGGGCAACCCTGCTGTGGTGGGAGTATTTTTGGATGCTTCAATCAGAGTGAGTGCTGAGCACAGATTGTGCGACACAGAGAAACAGACATAGCTTAAAAGAGCGTATTAATCATACATGGAGTCGTACTGTACGCACATGTTCTGTGCTAAAACTGCTTAGAGGTGTTTTTTTAATGACATCCAGTTCCAACCAGCTGTTCATGTGGCCAAGCTGAAGCGTCTCCAGAGGACTGGAATAGTTTTGGTTTAACTTCAATCTAAGTACAAATTTGAGATACGTCATGACTTTGCACTGCTTTCTTACCGTTTATAGGAAATCTTCTGTTTCCTCTTATGGCACTCCATCACCCACTCCTTCCGCACAATGATGCCACCTACTGATTTCACCTGACTGTACTTGGGAGTGTTGGCGAAGGCACAGCTGGAGATTAACAGAAACAGATGTGGACAAACACAAAAAGAAACACATGATTACATCTCTATAGGGAAGCTGACGAGGGAAACAGCTGAATGTAGGGAAGCAATCAAACAAATTAGAGAGTGCTAACTGTTACACAATACTATAATCTGCTTCAATGGACAATTTATAACAGATTAAATAAGTAGGATAATTATTTTAAAAAATAAACATTTTAAGCAAGAATTAGGT